AGATGGTATGCAAGATCAAAGGACTGGTTTATTCACATTCATATTGTGTCTTAGCTTATTTGGGATGATCAACAGGTGCGACCGTCTTTGTTGTAGGTCTGCAGTCACTGTTTATGGGGTCGATCGTGAGGGCTGTTACATAACTGTGTTTTTCCTCCAAAGTTCTCAGAATATGAATTTTGCTAAAATTTCCTGGTTTACTCATGTATTTAAAATGTATATAGATACTGTGTGTTTTCAGCTTTTAGTAGTTCAGCACAACTAATGTTTTTCATGATCTATTTTCCTTTCCATCTCTATTCCTCCTGCTTTGTTCAATCACACAGTGAAATTCTCTGCAATAAATTTGTCGAATGAGGCAGAGTTTACTCATTATAGTCTGAATGACGATTTGGCGTCCAGCAGTGTTATCTGATTGACTGTTCATCTGCTATAATACATTTTTATTCTATTCATTTACAAAACAATCTCAGGTTTTCCAAGCTGTTGTGGAAATACAGATGTTCAAATGTTCCACTATTTGGAGCTCTTTTTTCCTTTTTCAGCAGTTCAATGACAACTTGGTAAATGTAAAAAAAGGATTTCTGGTAGTTCAACTTAATTTTTTTTTTACAAATTGTTATAAGATGTTATAAGAGCCAATAGAGAGCCATAGAGCCAACAGAGAAGTCCAAATGTCTGCTGAGAAAAACAGCTAATATCTAGTTAAATACTGTACGTTAAATCTGCGCAGCATAGAGAAACAGTGGAGTGTTGTGGCATGTGTTACTCTGAGTCAGTTCCATCACTCAGCCGCACTGTATGTGGGTGGGGTGACTGCAGTGAACCACTAGTGTATAGCCATTTTAATCAACTCCCCAATCAGTTTCTATATATACTATATACTTCTATATACATGTCCTATAATGTGCTGGACTTAAAAGACTGCAATTAAAACTCCGAAGTCCCTTCAGGATTCAGCAAGTGCAACATGCTTCTCAGCAGGTCCTTATCACCTGAGCTTTGCATTTATGCATCTCTGTGTGTGTGTTTGTAGGAAACCCAATTCAATTAGTCCGTCTGAGAGGGGGATTCGATTAGGGTGCATTAAGAGTGAGGAAACTCTTTGCTTGGCAGCCCATTGTTTACAGAGGAGAGACACCTAAAGAGACATCAGCTCTGATGATATTCAGACCAGTGGGAACATTGCCAGGGAAGTGATAGTCTCCTTACGTCCTCTAAAGATATATGGTCACAGTGTTGAATGGCCTCAGGATCCACAAGGAAAAGATGAGATGTTTAGATATGGGTCAACAATGGAATGCAACACTGTATATAGCAGTGTTACACACATGGGTACAAGTGTTGGTACAGTTGCAAGTCATTGAAACAACTTTGTTCATTCTGGAAAGTGTTAAGATTGTGCTGTTTGGTATCATAGTGTGCACCACACTGAACGTGGATAAGAAACAAATAAGAGAGCTGTCTGAGGAGATAAGGAAGAAAATAACTGCCAAGCATTGTCCGGATAAAGAGGTCACAAAGCCATCTCCAAGCAGCTTGATGTCCCTGGGACCACAGCTGCTACAATTATTAAGAGGTTTAAGGTCCATGGGACCATAGCCAACCTCCAAAAGGAAAACTACGCCCAGATTGAACAGAAAGATAGTTCAAATGGTGGGAAATTTTTAGATCAGATAAAAGCTGACCTAAAAGGTACAACAGTGTCTACAATCTAAATGAAAGTAGGCTTCCTGGAAGAAGAGGAACTGACTGGATTTTACTAAAATGCATGTTGCCAAGCTGCAGTGCTTCTGGAAAAATGTTCATTGGACAAATTAAAATGAGAGCTTTTTGGTCTTATCAGCTTTATGTTCACAGAAGAAAAAAAAAGAAGCTTTCAAAGAAAAGTATATCATCCTCACTGTGAAACATGGAGGAGGCTTAGTGATGACTTTGCTGTTACTAGCACAGGATGCTGTGTATCTGTGCAGAGCATAATGAAATCAGGGGTGAAACCTACTGCCCAGTGTCAAAGAGCTCAGTTTCAATTGCAGGTCATGGCTCCTCCAACAGGATAAAAACTCAAGACATACAATCTAAAACCACTAAATATATAAACAATTTGAAATTTAATAAATTCATCAGCAATCTCCAAAGACAGTAAACCACATTTCACTGTATACATGTCAAACTTAACTGGCCCCTACAATCTGGTTAAAAGGTTGAATAACACAAAGGATTTTAGGGGTCAGCTTGAGCTGAATTCCAAAAGTCTGTTATCTAGTTCATGGTGGGTGACAGTGGTGCGGTGGGTAGAGCAGTTGTCTCCCAACCAGGAAGTTGATGGTTCAAATCTCAGTGCCTGCAGTCCACATGTTGAAGTGCCCTTGGGAAGACACTGAAACCCCCAAGTGGCCTCTGATGGTGGCATGTATGCACACAGCAGCCGGGGGCCCCTTGGCTCCAGACAAAACTTTGTTGTACATGTTACAGTGGCAATAAAAAAAATAAAGCTTATCTCATTGCTTCAGTGCCCTCTCTGCCTGCCTGTTTTCTCCAGTTAGTCCACCTTCCATTTTTCCGCTATACACTCATCTTCCTCTCTGCTTCAGTCGTTTCTCTCCTCCTCAGATACTTCACTCCCCAACTAGTTTCTTTCCCCAAACCCATTACAAGTCTGAGAGCATGTAGGAGGAATTTCAAATCTGCTTGTCAAGCTCTTCTTCTTTTCTACTCCAGCTTCTCCTCTTCCATCATTTTTCACCTGTTATTAGTCTTACGTCCCTCGTCGTGCACCTGTGTCTCTGGTGTGCCATGTGCTCACATATCATATATGGCGCACGCGCAAAAGAGTAACATGAGAGAACGCAGGAGATAGAGGTTTTGTTTAATGGATGTACTGAGAGATGTTTTGCTCTATCTGTTTCCAACTCAGTTTCTGCCCATGTATAATGAATGATACAAGTCTCTTGCACCATTGTTTATTGATTCTAATCAGAGTGGCTGGCCTGTTGAATAATGAAACAGGAGGGCAACATAAAAATGGCTGAGGGACACCTGCTGATTAGAGCATAGACTGCATTCATCACAACTGCCCTTAATGGGGACTGTTGCTTGTTAATGTACTGTACATCACCACATGCACACGGACACAAAGATGCAAATATTTCTTATCTTTGTTTTTTTTTTCCTGCCATATCTTCTCTTTTGCCCTTGAATAGATACAAATTTTCACACACTCTATTGCAAAAGAAGAAGTGGAGGGTTTCAGAGAAGCAGCAGCAGTATACAGTAGCAGAGCTGCAGTGACATGCATGGTGATGTATTATTAGAAGTATAGTGAAAGGAGCTGGATGGTGTCACAGAAACGTGCACAGCCTCTCAGTCTGCAATATCACCCCCCAAACTCTGTAGGTGTCTGATTTGCTCTGACTATGGTCTTCACCATTAGAATTACGGAGCATCCAGAGTGACTCTGCAGGCACAGAGAAGCTCCAGTAAGATGTGTTTTCATGCTGTTGCATTAAGAAATTCAATTTTACCCAAGGAGGGTTTTTAAATGAATGTTTTACATATTATGCTTGCAATTCAGCAATATAAAATACTTAGGGTAAGTGTTTGAGGTTCAATGAGAGCATGGTGATTTGTGTGGGAAGTGTTCATTACCTGAGAACACTCCTGCTGTATGCACAAGGCTGATGACTGAACCTCAGGAGTTCTACAAGCTCCTGGTTCGCTCTCGCTTAGTTTGTGGTACTGTAATTTTGTTTGGGAGTACACAAAACTGAAGCATAGTGTCACCTTGAACTATCACAGCTTTGAAGTTGTGAGCCTTAAATTTTTAATCCTGGTCGATCTGGTGAGCAGCACGTGTGATTTATCACTACAGTAAACAATGATTGAGCTCGTATTTGGTTTGACATACAGTAGAAAAACAATAGCTTTATCTCTTTGCAGTGCGGTCAAACAAATTCATAATATCTAAGCCAGTAATCTCCCTTTTTCCATCACAGCATAAGCAATTGCAATGTGATTTCATGCTGTGCACAGCATGAGTAGTTTTTCTCACAGCAGCAGGGCACAGTTTACGGAGTTAGTTATGGTGCAGATTTGAAGGTGTACAGCTTTTGCACCTCTTCATGTAGCAGCTTACAGTGGCTGCTCCTCCTTGTTCCATTACTTTCTTCACCACTTAAAGCCGATGCTGAGAGTGATATCAGTGAGATACAGTTACAAACAAAGACTGGATTACATGCATACTGTGTTTCTTGTGAATCCCTTGTGCAAAAGAAGGAAATCTGAATCCAGTATGGGAACGTACTGCAGGAAGCACCATAAAGTGTATATTTAATATGTTTATAAGATTGATTGATGGAGCAACAGTCGTGTATGAAGAAAGTTTTCACTGCACTCCTGTGTGTGTGTGAGTCTGTGTCCGAGAGAGAGAGAGAGAGAGAGAGAGAGAGAGAGAGAGAGAGAGTATGCCTATTGTGTTGGGCAGACTTTAATAATTGACAGAGCTACCAGGGAGGAAGCATACACCAACAGAGAGGGGATTTTGTATGTGTCTGTATCTGTGTGTGTTTATAGTCACCTCCAACATCAGCTGCATTAAGGAAACATGATCATAAAGAGCACTGAGGCCATTTTCATGAATATACTGAAGGACGTAAGCAGTTAATTAACCTCTGACAGTGTAACTGCCACAGGGAAAACATCAAGTGATTTTTTAAAAACCACATCAATATCAGTTTAACAAATTATGCATAATGCTTGGTGCACCAAAAACAATATGATGACATAACAGAACCATTAGTCCGCCTTTACTAGGAGATCATTAACAACCTGAACGGTAAAAGTCAGCCTGTGGTTATGAAAGAAGTAAATTACCAATACAAAAAAGTATAGAAGGTAGACATACTTATGCCAGAGTGTCTTAAATTATAGCTATCTTAATGTAGCTGTATGTGCACAAAGTAACTACAAGAGGCTGTTGTTAAAATAAAAGTTGCATCATTTCCTCTGGAACATAGAAGAGTGAAAACACAAAGTTTCACAGATATAATGGTACCAGTGCCTCAAAATTATATTCAAGTAAATGTTTGTAATTAGTCAGACAATAAGGCACAATGTCTAAATGACAATCGTAAGAAAGAATTTTTATTAATAGCATGCGGCAATTACATTTACTCCTTCTTCTTTCCTTCTTAATTGTCATGAGCTGTTATTCCTAATAGTTACTGCTGTGGTACATTTGCTCTCAGCTAATATCCAGATTAACACTGAAAGAACTTCTTCAGTATTATTTGTCTTTGTTTTCCACTGTTGTCACATGCTGACTAAGGAACATTAGAAGGTCAGTGTTGTTCAACTGCAAGAGCTGGAGCCATTTGTTAAAAGGAAGAGGCCCTTTATGGCTTTAGCTGCATGTGACTGAATGGGTGTCTGTTACGGTGTGTGAGTGAAAGAGAGACCAAGAGGGAAAAAAAGGAGCTAAGCACTAGATGCAGTACTGTTGTTATGGAGCTCATTGCGTCTATTTTCAGCACAATCTTCTTCAGTTGCCATCAGGATTAAGTATTTTTCTTGACACTCAGATACAGTATAGATCTTTCTGTGTAAGTGTGAATCTGGAAAACAAACCCACTTATGGTCTGCTGGATGCAATTACATCCACCAACACAAACAGAGATCATACTGAGAAGTCAACCTAAAACAGTGCTTCTCTCCGTCTCCTCCTGCTGTCTCATACTCTGTCTTGCTCTCCCAGTCTGAGGCTGCCTGAGGTGTGGAGATAAAACAGCTGCATCATAATCTGTGGGTGGCACAAGCCTAGAAAGAAGGCAATTAGGTTTATAATTTACAATTCCCTTCTCCTTTCCTTTCTCACTCACCCCTCTTTTCCACCCATGAATTAATGTCTTTATGTGTGTTGTCTGTGTCCCCCCCACAGAGCAGCGCGAGCATTTGGAGAGTACCTGTCCCACACACACCCTGAAAACCGAAACGGATCAGGTCAGCGTCTCTGTCGGCTGGCCATTTGTCCATCCATCTATCCTGTCCTTCTTTCTTTAATCATTCATATACCTGCTTTACATGATCTTCTGCTGAAATGACAGGCTACAATCACTAGTGTGTCACAACAACAACTGATAATCAAAGAAAGATCCTCTGCTTTATCCACAACTTGTTCTCTTCTTTCCCTCTCTCCCTTGCTTATTGCAACCTGGTGTATTTCACATTCTTTGACACTCTACTTGTCTTTGCAGCTCATCTTCTGTGTGAAACCTTGGTGGGTCCAGACCCAGAGTCACCTAGTGATACGACTGGCCCCAACAACACCAATTGCCTCCATCTCTGCACCACCACCACCAAGAGCTCTGAGGACAACCCAGAACCGAGCCTAGTGACACAGTCACTGGGCTTACACGAACCACCTCCTCCTTCCATCAGAGTTTCTACAAAGCCGACACGGTTGTCCCTCGAGCGCAGTTTCTCTGCGGAGGAAGACCAACAGAAGGGTGTGGAGTGCACCTTGCAGCCTGCCCGCGTGTACACCATCACTAGCCAGCACGGTATGCTGATGAGCAGCAGCCGGAGCAGCAAGGAGAGCCTAGAACTGGACGTCCTAAAGGAAAAGTCGAGGAGTGGCGGGCTGGGATCCAGAGGTGGCTTGATCCAGCCTTCCACTTCCCCTTCCTCCACTTCTTCCTCTCCAACCCAGTACCATTACGCTGGCAGCAGCCGTGGTGCCAGCTGTTGTGGTGCCAGTCACCACCACGGAAACCACCACCACCACACTGTCTCAGGCACAAATATGCCATCCAGCAGTGGGGCAAGTGGAAGCAGCAGCAGCAACCAGCAGCAGCAGCAGCCTCTGAATGTCCCTGGGTCCCATGCTCATCATGCATCACATCACTCCCACCACCACCATCATCTGTCTCAGCCACCGCTCCACACATCCGTCAGCGCCCACAACATTCGCAGCTGGGGAGAGAGCGGAAAAGGGGAGGCGGAGTGCAGCAGGCTGGCCTGTGACTCATATAGTGGTGCCCCCTCGCGGAGCCAAGGCTCCTTGGACTTGGAGAGTGCATCCCGAGAGGCAGGCAAGCAGCACAGACGCCTAGAGCGGATGTGGAGTGTGGATCGGGTGACTGGGCTGGAGAGAGGTGAGAGGGCAGAGGACACAGAGGAAGAGAAAAGCACTAAAATCCAAACAAGGGTGGGAGAAAGAAGGGTTATTCATAAGGCCCTGTGGCCTAGGATTGGCGGGTTTGGTACTGGACCAGAGATGAAATGGCATTTGACTACTTTCAATTTCTTGTAAGAAAAATACACACAGTGAACACACACGAATGCAATGAGAGCGAGTTGATTTATTCTTTATGAAAATTTTTTTAAACGATCCATTGAAATTTGCTTCCCTGTTATATTTGTTGAATGTGTAAAAATTATAGGCCTCTTTTTAAGTTTAAGGTCACTTCAGTGACAAAAAGTGACAAATAAGACTTTAATCTTCGGTAAGGAATAATTAAAAAATAACCTAAGCTACTTTCTCATTTTACATTATTATACTGTAAGAAAAACAGCCTAATGAAATCAATCACTCATAGAGCTTAAACTTAGGTTTTGATAAATTAAATAGAAACATCCATTAAAAGCAAATACACTTTTCAAATCTATGTCATCTCAGGTCTGGTGGGTTTGATGTTGGATGTCACATGGTGGTCTGCATTTCTGACTTTTCGCCTCTTCTGCTATCCCTGCCTGCGTGTCTCCCTCTCTCCATTTGTGGAGTGGTGGACTGTGACGTGCTAGTGCTGTCACTGGTTTTGTGCTTTCATACTTCTAATACCAATTAAGATGATGCTTTTTTCACTTAACCTTGGAATTTTTTTTCTCTCTAATTGCAGAAGACACAAACTGGTTCCCTAAGGAAAATATGTTCACCTTTCAAACTGCGACAACCACCATGCAGGCGTGAGTGTCCAATCTTAAAGCACACATGTACACAAACATACCCACAAGCACCCAGCCACATTTATAGTGTATGAAAGGACAGGCTGCTACAGTATGTTGACAACCAGCGTTAACTGCTTTTAGCTGTTTTTGCATGTTTTAGACCAATAACTACAAATTGCATACTTTACAATTTTTCTAATCATGCTGTAGGCTTTTAGATTGAATTCTCACCTTGCAGGCAGCCACTGATTTTCACTTCAGTGTTAAAGCATGTTCAAGATGGACAATCCATTAGAGAGAATAGTTTGCCACTACTTTTTGGTTACAGTTAAATTATTGATGCATGGTAATGCAGCTTCAGACAGGGTTTATTTTTGAAAGCTTTTACTGTTGGTGCAATCAAGCACCATTTGACATTCAAGGAAAACATGACCACATTGCTGTTATTGCTTCTGCACACTTTCCAACAGATGTGTGGTTCAAATACAGGTGAAACAGTAAGTAGTTTTTCAGAGCATCTTGAAAGAAACAAAAAAAAAACTTATTTACTGAAATGATCCCCCCAGAAATGTATAAATTGAAAACTGCATGCCAGTATTGTGAAGTATATGCAGCATGTTGTTTGTGGGATGAAACATGCAAAAATGGATTGTATGGAACTTTAAAGGAAGTAAGAAGTACACATGTATGTTAGTGCACATATGAGAATGTCATGTTGTAGAGAAGTGTTTGGGAACATCTTTGCTAAAATGATAGCAATCTTGAGATCCCTGCAGCTGTAAAAGATGTCTAAAGTGTCCCAACCGCAGCACATCAAATCATGGAATCTCCAGCAGTTTCCAGCAACTGTTTCTGCCTGACTTTTGTCTTTGTCTCTTTTCAATTGTATCTTTGGCACTTTCAGCACAGATTGGATGGTTTATAGACAGTGCTTGAAGCACAATGCAAGGCTCACTCAGTTGTTTATTTGGTGCATTAAATAACTGAACAGTGGCAATTATGTGGCATTAAGAGTTAACTTTTTATTCATAGAGTTCAATGAATGACACACTCTATCTCATCAGTTTTCTCCCAGTTCTTCCTCTGTTTTTTGCAGTCATTGATCACTGGTGCCTGAACTGTTTTTTGCCTGTCTCTCTCCTCTCTTCTTGCATGCTAAATAATCTTGGGACTCTCAAACAGGATATCGTGAGTATCCCTCCCTGCCTGCTTGGTTTTTTCTTAGCTCGTTTACTCTTGTCCTTACCCGCTGTTCCTTAATGTTAATATCTACCATTTACCCTTCATCCCTGGGCTGGGTGTTTTGAGTTACAGCTGAAAACAAACTGACCACAGCAAGATAGAGCCAGGGATTATAGAGTATAGAGGTCTGTGATTATGCTTGCTTGTGTGTGTGGGTTGTTTGGATTACTCATTCAGGCTTATACTAACCATCCATCCAGCCATCCATTATCTATACCGCTTATTCCTGAATAGGGTCGCAGGGGCTGGAGCCAATCCCCGCTGTAGACAAACAACCACACTCTCTCCTACGGGCCTATACTAACCATGTCAACAAATATAATGCTCTAATTGATATAGAAAACTAGAATTAATGCCTCACATTTGTATGCTTCCACCATCCAGTCAAGTTCATGGAAAAGGGGTGGACATGAAGACACAGTGACCCTGACCTTTGACTACCAAAATCTAAGTTCATTCTTTAATCCAAGTAGATGTTCATGCCAAATTTGAAAAAAATCCCTTAAGGTGTTCCTGAGATATCATATTCATGTCAGTGGGTGGGGAAAAAATGTAGGATTTTCATGTGACAGCAGAGGCAAAGTCCAGTGTAATCCACTGCAGTTGAGTAAATCTCCCAAGTCAGGAAAATGTCTGTGCGTGTGTGTGCTGACCTAAACTCTGTCGGCTCACATCTCCCAGCAGTTCAGATAGTTTGGCCCACACATTCCTTTTACATTTCATACTACACACCCACTGCTCCAAACCACACCTTGCCTAACTAAACCTTACTAACCCAAGCTGCTCATAAATGTTAAAGTTGCCTCTGTTAATCTACCCTGTGGCTGCTAGCTCAAAGTAAATGTTCTGGGCCTGCTCAAATTCATCAACAATAATTATGGGATAAGATTAGTGATGCTATATTTTTTCTTATTGTCATGAAAGGACTAAAACCATAAATTAAATAATCGAGCAAACGAGTCCAGCCACTCTGCTGCACTGATCCTTCATTAGAATGAACATAACCACTGTGAGTCAGTCACACATCAAATAGCACTTCAACTGTGTATTAATCCACAGCTGAAAATAGTCCAACAAATCACTGTAGAATAGTATTTGATAAAAACTACAAATCCCTGCTGTTTCAGGTAATTGCTCGGCCTGTTCTGAAACTGAAGCCATACTGTGTATTTCAGACAAGATTTTAAACATTTATGACTTCAGTTTGTACAGCAGGACTTGAGGCTCAGTAACATAGACCAAGCTGAGAAGAGTTGACAGAAGGACATGACATTTGCTCACATCAAGGAACATATAGAATAATAGTTGTTTTTTTTAGGGGACATGTTGTTTTGGATGAATTTTACTAGTTACTTGTACTTACCTGGAGTCGATGTACAGACGATGGAGTGTCGTTAAATACACAAACTATCATGTTTAAGTCTATGTATCTAGATGCTCTGTCTCTGGCGCTGTCTCTGCTTTGGACAAATGTTTAAACAGCTTCACAGGATTGTTGGGTTGCACATTTCCTGGTAAATGCCAATTAAGCCTGGTGAACACATAACCAAACACCGAAAGTGATGCATTTCACACCACGTTTGCTGTTTGACACACAAGTCCAGTGTCAGCCCAGTAACATCACTTTCTACTACTAATCGTTGCACAGTAGCTGATCTGGATTAGTGGCAGGATTCCACAACAACTTTGCTGTCACCCTCTTGATAGTGGCTTAAAGACAAGAGAACTTCTCAACAGGCTACGAATCAGATAATAAACCTTCAGATATTAGAGAATGTGTACTTTTTGAGAGGAGCTTCTAACTGAGCATCCAGGAGCTCAACATGCTTTTAAACTGCACATACAGTAAGGATATAAAACAAGCTCCCATTGCTGATTCTGGGAAAGTATGAAGAATTATAAAATTCCCCAAAAATGAGCTATTCCTTTAAGAATTGCATTTCAAATGGAAGGACTGAAAAGTCACATGCTATAAGGTCAGCATTTCTATTCGGAGATGGATTGTGTAACATGCACGTTTGTTGCATTGCTAAATAGAAAGTAATGTTTGTGCCGGTGATGTGATTTGATTTTCTAGTCCTTATCGTCAAAGCTAGCTGCTGCCTATCTACAACAGCCTCCCCTTCATAGCCAAGTAAAACCTGTAGCTAAAAGCCCGGACATCTGCCATCAACCCTGCACTGCCTTACCCCTCACTAGGCAAGCATTCTCTCCTTCTCATCCGTTAATACTGTGCCACATCCTGGCAGGGCTTTCCGGGGATTTGTGCAAAGAAAAAGGAGAGAGAGAGAGCAGGATTCGAGCGACGTCATCCAGAGGTATGAAGTGTCCCCCTGCCAGGCTCTGCTTTGCTTGAGTGCTGTTTGCACTCGTTCACTGGCTATTGCTCCATTGTCGCTTATTTATAGCCGTCTAATCTGACTAAGCAAAAGGGTCAGAATGTGGCCCTTTGAAGGTGTGAGGACATCAGCAGCTTTCAAAGAGGCAGGAAAGGATCTGCTTACTCAATGCTCTCCTACAGTGCCCCAGTTTCTAGGCGAACCACAATAAAATGGATTTTTAATCTTAGACAAAACTGTAAAAATCAGTTTTTTAAAAAACCGATCTCCTTTGTATTGGTTGATAAGTTGTACACATTTGTTCCAATAGCTTTGTAAGAAGTTTTGAAAGTTGGGTTACACAATGTGACACTGGCTTGGCTTATGAAGGAAAAAACATGTTACAACTGAAAACCTGGAGTGAGATTTTGTAACACTTGGAGGAGTAATGACACCAGTGACAAGCTCAGAAACCATCCCACTCAGGCCCAGATGCTGTCACACAGGGGCAGATGGTGACTGTGGCACCATGCAGTACATTTCAGTTCCTTTGACATATCA